AAAAAGACAGCGTACAAGGTTTTGAATAGCGGAGGGGTCCAACAATGAGTGTCATGGACTTTCCTTACCAAGCTAAGCAACAACATTTGGCTCTCATGATTGGATCTTTTTCCACTGGTTTACTGAAAACATTTTATGTAACATTTGACATACTCAAGTGTGGTCAAGTTAATTGCTTGTTCAACTCCTATTTTCAGTTCTGCTCTGATAAGAGACTCAGGTCATTCTCAAGTAATAAACTAGTAAATTAGTAAAACAACTGTTCAAGTAAACTTTTTCAATCAGATTATTTCCTTATTTATGGAATAACTTATCCAAGAACCTGTCCTAAGTACTGAAGACCTGAGCCTGTCTTGCTTCAACAAACATTGCAGAAATTTTTATAGCAATAAGATAGGTTCTGTGTACGGTGTTCGCTTACACCCCAAAGTTTGACTGAATCAGGATGCTTTTTGCATCATTATGAATTAACGTTCCAACCAATTTTTATGAAATTACAACACTAGTATAGTATTGTAATGTTAACTAAACCTTAGTGTCATTTATGGAGGTAGGAATGGCATGATTGCAAAATTATAATGCAGATTCACTTGTGTGTTGACCTCTCAAACGTTACATTAACCACGCCGAAATATAAAATGTTGTGCTCCAAGCAACTTATAGCCAAACTTTGTCCGGTTATTTACCCAGTATGACTTGCACATGAAACAAACGCTTGTTTTCCATTCTTTCCAGCAGTTTACCAAAATTTTAGACATGTTATCAGCATGAAAAATGATAACTTACCATTGTCCAAGATGGCAAACACAAAACGAATGCGTCCTACAAAATCCTTTGCACCGGATACTCTTTACCTGTTGGAAGAAAATGTCTTTTCAAGATGCACAATAGCCAAAAAATATTTTTGTATAAGCACCGTACAAAATGAGTGTTTTTTACTCTGCCTGAATGGCAAGTCCAAGGTGGCCATCCCAAAAAGTAATACAGTGCACTAACAGTGCACTGGGCTTGGTGCATTAAAGCACCGAAGTGCAATGTTATTAGTATTTCAGTGCATTAGTGCACCAAATACTAATAACATGTGCACCTGGTGCACTTTAAAATACTGTTAACAGTGCAGTATTTCGATGCATTAGTGCCCAGGTTTCGATGATGTGGTTTATCAACTGCTCTGTTACATGTAAAGTGTACAATTGGAAATGTTGATGAAAATAACCCTTAATTTAGGAAGGCTTTTTTAAAACTAAAATCAGTGATACCGGTGCAGCCTGAAACATTTAATGTGGGGAGTGTTTTGGAGATTCTCAGAACTCCTACTAGGTGGTTCTCATTAATTCTGGATTCACAAACGTTGAGCTCAAGAAGATTTACGAATGTTGCCGTGACATTAAAATTCAGCTGTTAGTTCTAGTTTCACCGAGTTTTGCAATGTTCAGAATTCGCAAACTTCTCCAGTGGTTTCTCCTGTCATGGTTATTGACATATTCCCACGATATACTGTAACAGTTTTCACTAAATCAAGTAATTTAATGTCTGCTGTGTGAACCCAGGTAACTCTTCTCACTACATTCTTCAGCTGTGTGAAGGTAAGACATTCATGCAACCGAATTGACTCAAAATTTTCACTGAGAGCCTTTGTCACAATCGACGGAACTTCAGAAATCCTTTTCGACTTTTTGCAAATGAGAGGGATGCTTCTTCAAATGAGATGATATGAAATAAAACTAAAAATGCATAAAATAACGTCTTCGGGAAGCTGATTTTAATCAGAAACAACATTGTCCAAAATTTAAGAGCAAAACATGACGTGACTAACGTTCTAGTGACTGCAGAGAATAAGTGCACTAGTGTATTGAATTTGGTGCACCTGTGCACCTAGTTTGGTGCACTAGTGCATCATGGTGCACAGTGCACCAAAACAGTGCACTTGGCCTATGTAACCCTTTTGGGAAGCAACACCGTACACATAGCGGATAAATGGCTTTGATCCTGATTGCCCACATGTTACTTGAGCATGATATGATAGTGCAGTTTTCAGTCATGATTAACTGTTAAGATTGTGTTACTTTTTCTGACAATTTCTTTTTCTTTCTTATTGTTTAATTGGGTGGAATAGCTTGTAAGGTTCTTCTGTTCCCTACTAGTCCTTCCCCACTGCTATCTTGTGTCCGATTTTTAAAATTTATTGTGTGCAGTGAAAATGGATTAAATCTTAAGCCACAAGATTTTCCAAGCCAGACATGCGCTTTAAGTATGGGATGCAAAGCTTGTCACCAGCCTTTCTTGATCCTTTAATCCTTTACTCAATATACTCCTAGAACAGTTAAAACTATACTAGCATCTAGGAGTTAATGTATAAAAATATGTGTATGTACACTAGACATGAAATATTTTTACCTAAGCAATGAAGAATTCAATTTGCTTTTGACAATTGTTTTGACATAAATGTAAGGAAAATTGAAGCATGCATTGAAATTTACAATATTTTTTTAAAAATGAATAAAGATATGAATAAAATCAAATAAAAATGTGGGGAATGTGTTGGTTGAATGATCATAAATTAAAAGCCTTCTTGAAAATATAGTTTTAAACTAAACATTTAAATTCATTTAAGACTTCCACGGCACCTTGGCTTATATTCTAAGGTAACTGGTGGATGAGAAGGCTCTGTAACCGTACACGTAGTCTGTTCAGGAGGTTCTTAACTTGTAGCCCATAGTAATAAGTTGATTACTATAATTAGAAGATCTTACGTTCAGAGCTCGTCAGCGGTTTCAATAAGCACTGACAACCGACAAGACCAGTCGACTACTTTGCTCTCAGAAGTTGGCTACTTCCCCCCCCCCCCCCCCCCCGTAATTAAGGCTGAGAATTAAGTATTAAAAGAATGATTCTGACAAAACTTCAATTAAAGCAGTCATAAAACTAAAAAATATACTTTTTACTGTTATTTAAACTTATTATTGATCAGCGTTGAGATTAAAAACCTGTTTATAAAAGATATTACTATATCTTTCTTTTACTAAATTTAGTGCCCGAAACACTGAAAATTGCATTTTATGGTATCCAAAGGTTTAAAAATATTCTGGGGAAGTATGCCCCTAAACTTCCCTTAAAATAAGAGGGGGGCTGACAGCCCTTTTTCGATTTAGTTGGTTACCCTGTTTAAACTTGCTGGCTACCTCAATTCTTATGCTTCTAGGTATGTACTGCTTAACTTATTCAGAGAGATAGATTGGAGCAAGATTATTCAGTGCCTTATAAGTTATTAATAATATCTTAAAAATAACATGTTGTTCAACTGGCAGATAGTGGACCCTTCTAAAATAGGGGTGATATGCTCTCTTCTACTGACTGACAGAAATGTTTTTACCACTTTCTTAGGTATTCCATATAAAAGGGAACTGCAAAAGTCTAATTTTTGCAAACTAATATATTTCCTAATGTAACTTATGTTTCTTAAGTGATAAAATGCGATTTAGCCACCACGGTAACATGTTACTCCAGACTCATATTAAAGTCAAAGAGCACTCTAATATTCCTAGCTGAACTTGAAGGGCTGACTACTTCATCAGATATGCCAACAGACTCCAGTGGAAGGTGGAGCAGTGGTCGTGTTGTCACATCCAGGCAAGCGTTTTAAAAATGGAACTAACAGAAATCCCTAGCTGCTTCCTTCCTATATTTGTTGTTTCAAGGCCTGTAGGGAGGGGTGTGTGACGGGTGGGCTTCCCCACAGGTTTTTGGGGGTCCACGTTTTTGTTGACCGATGATTTAAAACAAGGTGAATTAACAATGCTGTGTTGGTTTGTGGTCCCAAGCTGTGGAACTCATAAAGAAACTGAAGGTTCCCTTAGAGATTTTTTAACTGCAGACATTTATCAGAACTGAGTAAATTTAAAATTAGAGATTACTGGACATTGATCTTATTCAATTTCATTTAATTTGGCAGATCTTGGCGAAGTTTTCTTTGGGACCGTATCTGTCTTTATCTAAGTTTAGAAAAAGAAAGCGACAATTTTCGTGTTGTGTTCACCTACTCCATAAAGTGGGCTCGTGAAATTAGGAAGTTTCATGTCACAGTGGTGCAACGATGGCAAAGAACTGTACAAAATAGCGTGATTTACATGCAAAGTTGTTGTTGTCATTATAAACTTTTTATTTGTTTGCCGTTCTCCTTGCCGTTGCCTTCATTGGTTTTGTTGTCATCCAGAAATAGAGCTACCATGGTAACTTCTCCTCTCTATTAGTAGCACCCAACTTGGCACACAAATGAAAGCTCCCCCAGGGGAGACTCTGGGCAAATACAAATTACTTACAATGTATCGGGGATTTGTATAGGTAAAAGCATGATTTGTAGTGATATTTGGCATAAATACCACTAGTGATATTTCGAAATTGTTATACATAATTTGAGACAATTTTGAAATATCACGAGTGGTATTTTTGCCAAGTATCATGTACAAATTATGCTATTATTTGTTTACACTACTAGCAGCAAAAGGTTTGTAATTTTCACATGTAGGTATTTCAAATTAAGCTGAAATACGACTGCTCTAAGCCAATGAAATTTCAGAAATTTTTCATCTAGTAGTATAAGAAAGATTACTTTACCCCGGAGTTGGGGGAAATGAGGGAGGTTTGGTTTACAACAACCTTGCACCACAGGGAAGAAGCGGGGTCTTTGTAGAAAGAAATGAGGTTGATTGGATATAGAGACCACTTGTCCAGAAGATTGCTGGCTTAGATCTCTCCTTGTAGTGAACCACTTCTATTAAGGAAACGCTTCATTGCACTTATAACGAACATTTAAATCAACAAGAACATTGTAGAATAGATAGTTTGTTTTGGGTTTTTCTTTATATCTCCTGGTATTGCCTCTCTATTTTTTTTCTTTATAATGGTTTAATGAGTAGGTTATTATTTGGTGAGATATTTGTAAGGTAATAATAATGTTTTTTATGTTGTGTCAAAAAGGTATAAACAGAAAGCTCTGCTGCATGTCTGTACAGTGCAAGATTTGTGGAAAGTGTTTTAGGGTAGCAAGACAACTAAGCAGGCATGAAAGAGTTCACACGGGGGAAAAGCCTTACGAATGTAAACAGTGTGGCAAGTGTTTTAGTGAAGCAGGACACCTAAGGAGGCATGATAGAGTTCACACTGGGGAAGCCCCTTACAAATGTAAACAGTGTGGCAAGTGTTTTAATCAAGCAGTACTCCTAAGGAGACATGAAAGAGTTCACACTGGGGAAAAGCCTTATGAATGTAAACAGTGTGGCAAGTGTTTTAGTCAAGCAGTACACCTAAGGACTCATGAAAGAGTTCACACTGGGGAAAAGCCTTATGAATGTAAACAGTGTGGCAAGTGTTTTAGCGAAGCAAAAACCTTAAGGTGCCATGAAAGAGTTCACACTGGGGAAAAGCCTTATGAATGTAAACAGTGTGGCAAGTGTTTTAGCCGATCAGGAGACCTAAGGAGTCATGAAAGAGTTCACACTGGGGAAAAGCCTTACGAATGTAAACAGTGTGGCAAGTGTTTTAGTGAAGCAGGACACCTAAGGAGTCATGAAAGAGTTCACACAGGGGAAAAGCCTTATGAATGTAAACAGTGTGGCAAGTGTTTTAGCGGATCAGGAACCCTAAGGAGCCATGAAAGAGTTCACACTGGGGAAAAGCCTTATGAATGTAAACAGTGTGGCAAGTGTTTTAGCCGATCAGGAGACCTAAGGAGTCATGAAAGAGTTCACACTGGGGAAAAGCCTTATGAATGTAAACATTGTAGCAAGTGTTTTAGTGTAGCAGGACACCTAAGGAGACATGAAAGAGTTCACACTGGGGAAAAGCCTTATGAATGTAAACATTGTGGCAAGTGTTTTAGTGTAGCAGGACACCTAAGGAGACATGAAAGAGTTCACACTGGGGAAAAGCCTTATGAATGTAAGCAGTGTGGCATGTGTTTTAGTGTAGCAGGAAACCTGAGGAGGCATGAAAGAGTTCACACTGGGGAAAAGCCTTCTTACGAATGTAAACAGTGTGGCAAGTGTTTTAGTGAAGCAGGACACCTAAGGAGGCATGAAAGAGTTCACACTGGGGAAAAGCCTTACGAATGTAAGCAGTGTGGCAAGTGTTTTAGCCAAACAGGAAACCTGGGGACTCATGAAAGAATTCACACCGTGGAAAAGCTGTGTTTTAGCCGATCACATAACCTTAATAGTCACGAAAAAGTCCACAGTAGAAAACACTCGCATAAACGTAATAGTAACGAAATTGTTTCTAAAGGTTTGCCTTTTAAGAGTAAGAGGGCAGTAAGTAATGTGAGGATTAGATTTACAAACGCCACACCTACACAGAGAGAGACTGGAGACAATAGGATAGAAGACCAGCGATCAGACATCATTGAGAGACATACCTGTTGGATTTGTCAAGAGGAGATGAGTAGTGAATCTCTTCTTCTTCAACATTATGAAAATCACATGAGATATATACCTTCAGGTGGTTCGTAAAGAACCTTTCTACTACGGCCATTTTCTTCTGTCTCCAATGTGGCCGTTGTGGAGAGGTTCAACTTTAGACTTCGCGATTTTGAAGGTGGACACCAATTCTTAGGGGGTGTTTACATGAGAAAACTCGCACTGGCGTGAATTTCATACCGGGATGACTTTTTGATTTCTTATCGCGTTTACATGATGACTGACTCATTTCATATCTCGCTATTTGAAGGTACACGTCATGTTGATAAAATACATGTGTGATTCAAAATCGAAAACATAACGCATGTGCTACCTGTTCCAGACTACCAGCAGACCGATTTCACACCGAAATGTGTGGTCGTTTCGCGTTTACATGATACTGTAAACGAACCGGAGTGAATTTCTCACCCTGGGAAAACAACCAGAGTGAACTCGCGCCGGGGTGACTCACGCCGGCATGACATTTTGTGTTGGTATCATGTAAACAAATGCAGAGCCATCAGGGGGAACCGGAGTGAACTCACTCCGGCGTGAAAGTTGCCCCCAGTGTCATGTAAACAACCTCTTAGGCATTCCTGTTATACTTGCAATATTAATCATACAGGCACCAGTTGTTTGAACATTGGATTAGGCTATCCATCATATGAATCACTTTTCATAGGAAAAGTAAAAATGGAAATAACTTTTTAATTAGTTTGTGTTATTCCCTGGAAAGGGGTTTATCCAATGGATTTAAACATCTACGGCCCAGTCAGTAACATAGATTTTTAACTATCCAGTTTTATCGACCAGAGTATTGCCAGTCGATCACCTTTCCTAACGAGTGAGAAATACTGAATTTAAATAAAATCAAGCAGGGTGCAAAGAAAGCCGTGTCTGTTAGCCCGGGGCTAGTGGATTTTCCTATCGGGCTAGTGATTTTTGTTCTTAACTTGCCCAATGGGCAAGTGCTGTTTTTTGGGGGAAATTCAAATTACAGAGGGATTGTAATCAATTCTGCTAATCATAAAGGGTTTTGGGGCTAGTTGAAATGACTTGTGGGCTAGTACATGCTAGCTACAGCTTGCCCGAACGGTAGGCTGTAAACTAACTTTCGTTGCACCCTGAATCAAGGAACCAGCCCCCAGGCGAAACGCATAAAGAAATGAATGATATAAACTCCCGCTATTCCCAGTATTACGGAAATCTGGACACTTTCCTGCCGCCAAGCGCTACATTTTACTTGTTTTTTCTCTCGCTGTAGCGGACACTTAAGTACTTCGTCAAAAATCCTGACTCTTACGACATAAAGAATAAAGCGACGTTACAGTAAAGAAAAAGATGACAAAAAGTACTATCGACCGCTTCTTTGTAAAAGAGTAGACAATTGACTGCTGTACAGCATTTTAGGGAGAAAAGACATTGCCATTAGAGCTTATGAAGATTTTGCGTTATTTTGACACTCTACTGTAAAAGTCGTTAGACAGGTTTCTGTTATGAGTATTCTGTGCAGCATTTCTGCGATAAAAGAGCTGCCAAGAACAATAAAAAACATGTTTGACAGCAAGTTAACATTTTAGCCATCCACATTACTGGAGTTTCCGTTTAGTTTTTTAAGCCCTTTCTTATGTATCCCTTGTCATTGCTGGAGCTTGGAAGTGATAATACAGCATATTTACATCTATTAAGTTACAATCTTATCTTTAATCTTTTATGATCGATAGTTAAAAGAAGTAAAGAACTGTTGAAAATACAATGCTTCTGGGACTTTTACATATTATTTCACAAATTTAAATTAGAGAGAACATTTTTTTTTTCTCTCGTACCCTACTATTACGGACACTAAATCTTCCCCCAAGGTTGTCCGCAGTAACGGGAGTCGACTGTAAAACGTCAAAAGACTGGTAGGTGTGTAGATCAGAGTTGTTGTCAAATATGACTGAGTTACACAAAGGTTCTTTAACGCACGTAAACCTTTTGTTTCGTGTTAGGTTACGTGACGTTCGTGTCATGTGAATTCACTTATCGACAATTAGGAATTTGTCTTTTGTCTTTTTGCCCCCGCAGGGATTTCGCCCTCGGAGACACCCTAGTAACTCGCGCGTATATTAAGGACAGTACTTACAGTTCAAATATACAGTCAGTATACTAGAAAAAATCTCGATTTGCTCGAACTGGGGCCGCGAGGAATCGGTAGGTAATGATGACGTTTCTATTGTTTGCGCCCGCAAGTACGAAATGGTTAGGATGACGTAAAGACAGAAAATCCCGAAGGGACCGCTCAGGCTGATTTTGCGATATTTATTGTGCAGTCACACTTCGATACTCTTTTGCGTTACGCAGTGACATTCTGTGGAGCAGTTGTTTTGAAAGTTATGGGCCAAAAGACACTCGATAAGCGCAGGGGTTATAAGGTGTTTTTAACTATGTATATATCAACACTTGGAGAGTTGGCCAGACACGAGTTCACAAATCTTTGATTTATATTGGAAACCTTGCCAGACACTCTTTCTCTCTTTTTGACCGGAATAAGAATCAGTTTCAAACAATCAAGACGAGTGAACAACGGCTAGCTTATCACCAGCAGACTGTGATGGACATTTACAGAAATTCGCCGACAATCAAATTCTGTGCTGACTTATTCTCTGCTCACAGATGTCCTTCTGTTATAAAGTTTCAAATAAGACTAGAATGCGCTAGCGTCAAACGATCAAACGTCCTTTTAATTTCTAATCCTTAATTTCCGGCAAATGAAATGAACTGAATGTAAAAAGGGGAAGAGAAATAGCGAAAAATTCAACTTCTAGTTAAATCTTTTCTTATGGTTTAGAATAAACTATTCTCGAAACTGAGAATGTTTTGATCAAAGCTGTGTAAATCGAGCTGAAACTGTGCATGGACCCTTGCGTTTCCTGTATTTATCTCACCTATTGTATGGAATATGTGTGAAAATCTTCCTTATGAATCGGTATATTTCAAAGAGCTACACAACCAGCAAGAATACTATTGACCGACAATATACAGAACGGGGGCAGCTGTAGTGTCAACTATTACTAGTTATAAATTATAAATACTTACGCATACGTGGATAAAGAAACAGTTCTCTTGGGGAACATCACATGGCCTGAAATGGAAAAACAAAACATACAAACAAAAACTAAAAAGGTTTATTGATAAGAAAATGTATAAGAGACGAGGGCAACGGTCAGAGATAATCACGTGATTAACTTTACACGCCATTATTTACGTCTCCGGGTTTTCCGATCGCCATTTTGAAAGTGTAGAGGGTGTTTGTCATGTTCGTGGAAAAAACTGTTTTTTTCCACCGTTATTGCCTGGGTAGCGGGCGAGTGCTGTAGTGTTTTGACGTCGGAATCGCGTGTTGGTTGCGGTGAGGGTAAAAGACGGAATGAGTTTACGGAATGGCATGTGGCATGGCTTGCAGAATGACATAATTATGCTGAATTTAATATAAATATAAATGGCGTAAAAAAATAAATTAAACAGGAGAGCATGCGCGCGTCTCTGCCGGGCGTTTTTTTGGCGCCAATTTGAAGGAGCAACCACTATGCCGGTTGGTTTATTTACTGCTGTTAAAACAAGGCTAAAATTGAAATTGAAGGAATGAAACAACAAAACTGTAGAGGCAAATAATACACGGTTGTTTGAATTAAAAATTCAATTTTCGTACTTCCTTACACCATACACCTTATCATGGTTTCGGAAGCCATCTTGAAGGGTAGGCAACCGCTTGATAAATTACAGTGTTTTTATGGGAATCTAATGTCGGATAATTTTCGTAAAGCGGCTGTTCGGAAAAAAAAAGGAATTGTAAAAATTAAGCTTCACAGCAAAGGACTGTACTAACAATTAATTGGGGCCACACCTGTGCCAAAATTTGATCGGTCGCTTGCTTTAGATTCTCCAGACATGTGTCTGCAATTTTCCCCGGGAATTTAAGTCGGCAGGAAGAAAAAACGTTTACACACAACACTGTATATTTTCACGCCGCTGCCAACCCATCAACATGGCCTTCAAAACCGTGATTAAGTCTGTTTTTTGACTTGTTACTCGCTTAAAACATGGTTCGAGTCATTGACGGTAAAATTATATAAAAATGCTCTGAAGAGGAACAAAAATTGGTATTACTTCGAGTTTAATCAGGGGCACCCAACAAGAATATAGTTCAAAACCACTCAAACATAGCATTGTTAAACGTATTTTAGTATTTAAACGTTAGGTATAGGCATATTTTTATCCCCTAAAAAATTTTCATCTGTTCGAATTTCCTAGTGAAATTCTAGTGATTCGAAAATTATAGGGATCAAAACTTACGTTTTCGAAAATTTCAGCCAAAAAAAAAGGCTCCCGAAAATTCTAGGTGACCTTATTAGGGTAAAAATCCGTGAAAAATTGGCAATTATACCATTTTTTAGATGTTCGAAAAATCTTAGGAGCGGCTAGCCTGAATTTCATCCGATTACCTCGAGTCGTTATTACTCCCTCAGTAACGACGTTGTTAAGAGGATAAAACGACTCGAAGCGATCGGATGAAGTTCAGGCTAAGGAGAGGCAGGCAAGCAGGAAATTCTACAACAAATGTTCCGAAAATTCTAGATCTCAAATCGTCTTCCGAACCGGATATTTTCCGAAAATTGACGTTGGGTGCCCCTGTTTAATAGCATGAGGTTCGAGTCAGTCGCGAGGGCTCGAGTTGTGGGAGTCGACTGATATCCTTTTTAAGAGAATTTTCTCTCATTTTGCGTTTTAGAATATTCCGTATAAAATATTTCGTGTTCTGTTTAAGAATATCCTGTAAATTCCGCGTCTTAGAATATTCCGTATATTCCGTGTTTTAGAATATTCCGTCATTTCGCCATTCTAACGAATAGGGTCACCCTATTTAAGCGTGTTACGGGTAGGCCAGTCCCAATATATTCTTTAATTTATTTGCGAATTTAAGTAGAAGTTGGAAGTTGGAAAATGGTTGGTCAAAGGTATTTATATAGAACTCGGGCTGTAATTTGTATTACTTTCGTTTCTAACTAGGCATT